TGTGTGTGTGTGTGTGTGTGTGTGTGTGTGTGTGTGTGTGTGTATGTATATGTATATGTATATGTATATGTATATGTATATGTATATGTATATGTATATATATGTGGTATTCAGCTTTGTTCGGGTATTTTCCCATGTCATTATAGTTGTGCTTTTAAAGTTGTAGCAACGTTTCGGCAGAATCTCATCTGCCATCATCAGGCTTCTGGTTGTGTTCGTCTGTGAGTCAGACTTTTACAGTTGTTTCAGTTTTAAATTTGGGGCTAGCCTACTACTGTGCCAGAATGGTTTTTTCTTCATCCTGATTGGTTGGGAGTCTTGGTCTGTGTTTATTGGTCTTGGAGTTTGCTGTGTTCTGCTTGATTGGTGTTTCTAATATCTTCTGTCTGTTTTGTGGCTTTTTTTGTATCTTGATTGGCTGGCAACATTGTGTTCCTGTATTGGAGGCTTTTTGTGCAGCTTGGCTCTGAGTAAATGGACGGCTATCATTAGTTAGGAAGCTAGGTTTCATCTGGGTGCCTGGTTGGGGTGTGTTTGAGCTGGAGGTATCAGGGGGGATCTGTTTGTGCCCAGGTGTTTGCCTGGCTAGTGGTGTGGATATTTTTTTGTTTGTGAGGGCAGGCTTCCAAATGATTGACAGTCTGGTGGAATCATCTCTTCTGTTCATGCTTTCTGGTCTTTTTTCAATCTCTATGGCTTCTCTGATGATTCTGTGGCTGGGGTTTTCTATAGTGGCTAGGGTTTTGGTGCCATTGAAGTTGATGCTATGACCTGTGGCTTCCATGTGTTGGACTAGTGAGGAAGTGTGTTCCAGCTTTTTGACTGCATTTTTGTGTTCATCCAGGCGGGTACTTATTCTTCTATTGGTCTGTCCAATGTATGTGGCCGGGCATGATGCACAGGGGACTTTGTATATGCCTTGGTTTTCCAGGTCAATTTTATCTTTGGGGTTTCTGAGGATGGCTGCTATTTTTCTGTCTGTTTTGAAGGCAGTCTTGATGTGGTGTCTGTGTAGTATCTTACACAGACAAAATTAGTAACGAAACGTCGCTACAACTTTAAAAGCACAACTACTATGACGTGGGAAAATACCCAAACAAAGCTGAATGCCATATATATATATATATATATATATTTCTTTCTAGTAAATATACTTTTCAGCTGTATTCTAAGATGTATTCAGTAGATAGGTAAGAGGAATCTTAGTATTTATAGGCTTCAGAATAAATTGAAGTCAATTAGCTTATAAAACAAGACATAACTGCACAAAATCCAGTATGTGCTAATAAGAGCCTGATATTAATATTTAAGAACTCAGAGTAGATTGAATATAAACAATTGATCCCTTCACTCGGTTGCTCATCCCTGATCTTGCTTATAGGTTGTTTAGAATTTCATAGTAACTGCCTCAGAATACCATATGCATTACACTTTGGTCTATAGATACAGTTTGATTGGATTCTTGGATTTTAATCTCTGCCTTTGAATCCAGCTTCTCCACTTCTTTCTCTAAAGATTTTATATTGTACAAATACACAGGCATGTTTTGTGTTTTATTACTGTCTTTGGATCATAGGTTGTAGGCAGTGTATTATTAATTAGCAATAGGTTCTGCAATCTGAAGCAATATGGACACTCACATAATTCTGCGTCAAGTCTGGATGGTTTCTTTCAATGCCATCATCCAAAATGGTGATCACAATATTCTTTCCAGTGTAGCCTCTCTTCCAGGCACCAACAATATTCATATCTGACTGACAAAGATGTGTATTATCACTGCAATGCTAGAGAAAGGGAAGGGAGCAAAACAAGGACTGTATGTAAGTGATTAGTTCACAAATGCAAGATAAAATAATATTAACCTTTTCATTAGCATAATCAAATAAATTGTCAATATATAACTATACTGATTTATTAAACAGGAGATCAAAAACTAACATCCTAATTAACAAGCAGCAAGGTAACTTTAATGAATGACAAATTAAATGAAAATGACTCAAACTCTTTACTTCTTTTGAGAATCCTTTTTATATGGAGTAATAGTTTTTAGGTAACATTTTGTTATTATACATTCCTAGAAATCATGCCAACAATTATAAAAGGTCTTTTCTGGGTATTCCTTACCCTTCCGGGAATGCATTTGAATTTTTCAGTATCAATAGGGCAAAAATAGATCCCGCGTGTATAAAATAGCATGGAAACACATATGCACATGTACAAAGGCTTATGTGTGGGATAAATGGGAAAGTATGGAGAGAGTTAATGTACTGTATCATCTATGAAATAGTTATCTAGAATTTTATTTAAATTCTCTTATATTTGCAAAAAGAAAAGAAAAGAAAAGAAGAAAGAAAAGCAAGCAGACAACCTTTTGGCATGTTTAGTGTAGCAGCAGCAAGAGATGAATCTGTAACCAAAACAATTTCTGTGTAGAACTTCAGCTTAAATAGCTTGCTGAACTGAAGCTGACCATAATAGCAAAAGTTCTTGAAGACTACTTTAGGTTAAATGGAAATCAGTCCATTTGTATTTTATTTTATTTGTGCTCAGTTACAAAATAATGAACAGGCAACTGTGCACTCATTAGCCCCACCCCATCTCTTAACCCTGCAGACAAGGTGACTCCTTTTAATGAGTATCCTATCGAGACTCTTGGTCATCATGCTTTGCTTCAGCTTCCCTGGACTCAAGGAGAATAAGAAGGAAAAGGAAAAAATGAATTCTTAGAACTAGTATCATAGCAACACATACTAGCTACAAGAGTTCTCAGAGTTTCTTCATTCTTGTTTTCCTATCCCCTTTCATGCTTCCACTCACAGGTCTATATGGTACGGTAGAATATGCTGGTATTTTGGAATGTGTAAAGGTGGCCAATAGGCAATTGGACTCCATTATTCTTTCTTTCCTCTCTACAAATGCACACAATCAATAAGCTCATTTATTTATTTGTTTTTCCAAAATGATTGTTGAAAACGTCTCTGAATAACGTATATGTACTTGTATTGTATTAATTGTTTGTTTGCCAAATTAAAAATGAGTTAACTAAAAATGAATCATCTCTCCGCCTTCTCTTTCCATGAGATGTGCTCACTCCTTAAAAAAAAAACACTACTATACAGAGTGTAAGGAGGCTTTATTAAATTGTTTTCAGTTCTGATTTAGAGAGAAAATAGTTTAAAAGAATACAGTTATCATACATTTTGTGAGACCAATAATTAAGACCATAGTTGTGAAAGTTCTTAAAGCCAAATTAGGCGAGACCATTGCTAAATCCATGGTTACTGAAAGTACTAAACCACAATGTACTGAACACCTTTCTTCCTCCCTCCCTCCAAATAGATGCAAAACTATTGAAGATGTAGTCTGATAGTTAGATAAATTTTTCCTAGTAGTTATATCATAGAGGTAAGCATTAAAATAAATGGATCTCTGTCTTTCTCATAAAGTTAAAACAATCCTTCTATATGTTCTCTTGCACCCTTATTCTTCACAGAAATTGATTCCCAAATTGATCCTACTCCCCAAAGAAAGAAAGCCATGCTCAGTTTCCAATCCATGAAAAGTGTTCCATACTTTATCTTAAAGGAAAATAGGCAGAAAATCCTCCTTTGATTTTTCACCCCCAAATCCATGTGCCTTAGCTTCCAAGTTTTATTTACACTGGAAAAACAAACAAACCCAAAACCTTACCCATAGGATCTCATTGAGAAAAATGACACACTTTTGCTCTTTGCCTGTGCTTTGATTTGTAGGGAAGGCCCTGTGCTTTGATTTGTAGGGAAGGATATGAGATTATAAACCATGTTTCCTTGAAAGGATTTGGAAACCTGCCAGAAGACAGTTCTCTTTTCTTTGTGATGTCAGCAGGCTCAGCAGGCTGTCCTTACCTGAACCTTTTCTTCTTCAGCAATATCTTTACTGCCATTAGCAAGCTTTCCTTAATGTGCTTGCAAACAGGCAAAATACATCCAGGCTAAATCAAATATCCATGAATCTATTCAATTTTTTTTGACACCGGAAACAAGCTTCAGAAAGAAGGCTAAATGGCTGGTCAATACTACTATCTTCAGAAAAGTATGAGCAGGTTGACTAGCTGTATATATCCCAATGAGCAAGGGCACACCCATATATGGTGTTTGGAAGCAAATTTGAAATTAGTGCAACTCACGGAACAACAATGCAACATTAGCACCATAGGGAACTCAAGAATTGTCCGCACAGCTGCTTTCTTGTGTCAGCTGTAGTTTCTGGATACGCTTTGAGGATAACCCTATGTATTCCTATATTTCAGATTGGTGGTAGAAGGCTAGTGCATGGAGAATGTGATGTAGCCCTACCTGGGACACAGAGGGGATTATAGCATCATTGGTATAAGAGAGAAAGGAGGATGGCCAAGGGACAAGAGTCAAATTCATCTTGAACAATATCATTGACATACATAAAAATAATAGGCGGAAGGATACACCTCTGTTTGTCTCTCCTAGAAGCTGGCATTGGGTCAGTTAGTTTTCTACTTTTTAATTACTGTACCTGCATTGTAATGCTTTGATGAAACATCATGATTAATTTCAATAGCTGGTAGTCAACAGAAGAAGCTGTTAATTTTTGCTATAGTTCTCTGAATCTACTCTATGAAAGCAGCTTAAAGATCACCTCAGGTGATTTAGCATTTTTTGCAAAGAAAAGATGTAAAGTAATACATGGATCACCAATAGAAAAATCTGATCTGAAGCCAACTGTTCCATTGCGGCAATCTTTTTTGGACCATTTACTTTGTTATATCACCTTCCATTGAGATCTGTTGGCCAAGGTATATATAGAGGTCTACTACATCTAGTTCTCCAAATATCATTTTTTTCCTTTCTTTAGTGAATTTATTAACATAACCTAGCTCTTTTTCAGGTTTATTTTTAAGCAACTTATACATAATAATCTGGGCAGCAATTGACTTTTGACATGTTGCCAGGTTGCCAGTATAAAGTGCCTTCTTGAGCTACAACTGACTGAATCACTCAGACCCACTTAGCCCATTGACACACCCACTTCTTCTGTTTCAGGAATTTTGAGGCATCAGCTAAATTTTGAGGCATCAGTGATTTGGGCAACGAGGTTGAGGATACAATATTTTCACACCTTTTTTTGTTAACACTAGAGATTGATGTCAAATTATCCAGAGCAGATTTGAGATGAAAGTAATACAAACTGTTTTAGGATAACCAGTCTTTCCATGATAGTTAATTTTCAATGATCTTTTAATTTATTAAGAGGTATGAAAAAGCATTTCTCTCCTCCAAGGTTTCTTCTGGCTAGTTGGTGTTCTTTAATTGAGACTTGCTTATTCAAACTTCAAGGGTGCCTTTTCAATACTCTGCAGTTGCTATGTTACTATACATCTTGGTCCTGTGCCAGCTAGGAAGTCAAGCTTGACAGACAAGTCAGGAAATATTCATTTTGGATAATTTTGGCATAGAACAAGATGCTTCTTCATTTTAAGTAACATAAGCAAGATAATTAAAATGAGGAATTTAATGTAATTCTGTAGGTGCCCTGAAGGGCAGGAAATCAGTCTATTGCTTTGAGATCCACCTGGCATAAACAAAATTATTGGCTCAAAAAGAAAGTGGCTGATTTGGGTGAAGTTTGTCCACACTTGTTCTTTGTTGCTAACAATAAGAAGAAATTTATTTGTTTGAAGTATATATGAGGATGTAAGACTCATTTTAAGAGGCACAGTAAGATTCTGAGTACTGGTTGATTAAATTATTTCTGGCTTTTCTAGGTGCATCCTAGCTGGCGTTCATAATGCCTTATAGAGGCTGAGACAGAAAATAGATGTAAAACTCTAAGTAGCACATCAGTTATTGATAGAATAATTCTGTTAATAATTCTATCAGTTCTACCAGTGTTTCAGCCTGAAACAATCTGGTTTTCCATAGCTATTTGCATGCCCAAACAGATATTAAACTTTTCCGTGGGGTGGAAGGAGTAACTCATAATCAAATAGTGGGAATCAGGTCCAATTTCTGCAGAGTTTAGGGGATTGAAACAATGACTTAGATAATTGCCTCCATTTATTGAAATTATTGTGAAATTGCTTTTCAAAGGAAGAATTAATTCATTGATATTCAGTTGTTGAATTACCTGAATTTGACTCTGCCAGTCTTTTGTCTATCTGTCCTACATAGTGGTTTTAACAGAATGTTTTAGTCCTTTTTGTCTTAGGCTATTGGGTTATTTGGCTCATTGAAGATGTTTTGGAGGCCTTTAATTGTTTTTTTCCCCACTTCTTAAAAAATCTTCTACAAGAAATTAAATGCGCCTCACTTCCAGTTAAAATGGTATCATCAGTACTTCTCAGTAATTTTGATTCCTTCTAACCCAGCATTTCTCTGGATATTTTCTGCATATGTTAAATGAAGAAGATGACTTTATAGAACTCGGTATACTTCTTTCTTCATTTTGAACAATTTAGTTGCTCCCTATTCTGTTCCAACATTTAGTTATCACTTCAATCATTAACAGATATATCAGGTGTCTTGGTATCCATCTGCTTTGCACATTTATTATGGTCTACATAATCAATGGTCTACATTTATTATGGTCTACATAATCAAAAGACTTTGCATTGTTAGTAAAGCAAAAAACAAAGATGAAAAAATAGATATGTGCTAAATTTTCCTTGCCTTTACCATTAGAGTGCTAAATTTTCCTTGCCTTTACCATTATCCACTGGACATTAGCAATGTGTGCCTGGGGATTCTGCCTTTTCTGAATCTAGCATGTA